TTAATCAAAGACAGTGTTTCACCATGTTGGTCAGGCTGGTCTTGAACTCCCGACCTCAGCTGATCCGCCCACCTTGACCTCCAAAGCGCTTGGATTACAGGCATGAGCCACCGCACCCGGCCTCCTTTGCCTCTTTCGCCTTGTAAGGACACAGCAAGAGGTGCCATCTACGAAGCAGCGAGCCCTCACCAGACATTGAATCTGCTGGCACCTTGATCTTGGACTTCTTAGCCTCCAAAACTGTATGCAATAAATTTCTTTTGTTTATAAACTGCAATCTAAGGAATTTTGTTATAGCAGCCTGAACTAAGACATATGCGAACATATATGTATATATGAAGTACTAAGTATAAAACAATCCAAGGCTATCACAAGTTAGGCACATAATTGCTAAATGTAATTTATATTAGTGTTTCTCAAGTCTGTTCATCAAAACATGGAGAACATTAAAAAATTACAGATCCTCTATACCTCCTTCCCTAATTTCAGTATTCCTGATATGAAACTTAGAAAAAAAATTTTTTTTGAAACAGCGTCTTGCCCTGTCTCCCAGGCTGGAATGCAGTGGCACCATCTTGGCTCACTGCAACCTCCATCTCCCAGGTTCCAGAGATTCTCCCATTTCAGCATCCCAAAGTAGCTGGAATTACAGGCGTGTGCCACCATGCTTGGCTCAATTTTTTTTGTTTTTAGTAGAGATGAGGTTTCACCTTGTCCAGGCTAGTCCCTTTTTTTTTCTCAGCTAGTTTCGAACTCCTGACTCAAGTGATCCTCCCGACTCGGCCTCCCAAAGTGCTGGGATTACAGGTATGAGCCACCACGCCTGGCCTGAAATCTAGGAATGTTTTTAAAGCTCCCTGGATAATTCCAATGTATAGACAAGACTGATAACTGGGCCAGGTGTGGTGGCTCATACCTGTAATTCCATCGCTTTGGGAGGCTAACACGGGCAGATTACTTGAGCGCAGGATTTTGAGACCAGCCTAGGTAATATGGCAAAAACCTAAATCTACAAAAAATAAAATTAGCAGGGCATAGTGTTACATGCCTGTGGTACCAGCTACTCAGGAGGCTGAGGTGGTAGGATCACTTGAGCCTGGGAAGTTGAGGCTGCAGTGAGCCATTGGCTTAGAGGGGGTATGCAGACAAGTAAACAGGAGTCAAGGAATCTTATTGAGGAGGAATATGGACAGACATTGCAGAAGGAGGAGGGAGGCTGTCAGAAAGGAGAAAGCACAGCATTTTGTATAGGGATGAGAATAGTAATAGGACTCTGCAAATAGCTGTGGCTTATTTTATTATTATTATTATTTTTATTAAGAATGGAGTCTCACTCTGTCACCCAGGCCAGAGCGCGGTGGTGTGATCTCAGCTCACCGCAACCTCCGCCTTCTGGGCTCAAGTGATTCTCCTGCCTCAGCCTGGGATTACAGACGCACACCACCATGCCTGGCTAATTTTGTACGTTTAGTAGAGACAGGGATTCACCATGTTGGCCAGGCTGGTCTCAAACTCCTGGCCACCATGTTGCCTAGAC